CGGACTGTCGGTCTCGATCTTGGTCTTGGTGTCGGACTACCTTGTCTTGACTACAACCAAGTTTTTATAGCACATCAAATGCTTTAGGTGCAAATAATCTGTTACATGAAATTAATTGAGGTGCAATAAGTGAATTCAAGCACATGACGTGCTATCTCTCAAACAGTTCGCATCACTTGAAGACCTTCAGGTGCCTTTAATTTGCTACTTGCAAGAGCTTGAGGTGCGATAAGTGTTTCAAAGCACATAGAATGCTAGCCTTTAATTATGCACTGGTTGTCCAGTAGTTTTAATGTGGTGATTGACATTGTGCTGAACGGAATTGTCCTGGTAGTTCGGCCTAGTTATTTCTGAGTATTGACTAAGCAAAGAAGTATAAGCATTGTCACTGTTACTGTATATTGGGCTAGGTGAAATTACAGAGGCTTTGTTACTTGTAACTGGCAGTTCGGTTAGAAATAAAAAAAAATCCGCTGTTTACATTTAACGCAGCAGCTATTTTTTTGCCTAATAATAATAAGCCCGGTTCATAGACTTCATGCGAATGCGAATGCGAAGCGAATTTGAATGAAACATTCGCCGCGAAATTCGCCCGAGATGAAATGAACTTTTACGAATTCACAGCGCGAACACTTGCCATGATGTCACAAATTCGCGTTCGCTTTCGTTTCCGCGCTGAGTATGAGCCGGGCTTAACATTATGTGCATTTCCATCGGTTTCCTGACTGGCGCTCATTGAACAGGACATTGACACAATGAGGACCCGCCAACAGAGGGCTGGATAGCTCAGTTCGAACTGGACACCAATATGCAACTAAATTTGCGCTATTCATGGCGGATTATTTTGCTATGCAATCCTTGAAAATGCCCCTATTGAGTCTGTTTGTATTTTTGTGCTCATGCAAATGTCCATAGGGCCTATTCATGAGCAAAATTGTAGTCTCATTCTAGGGAGAATTCCATGTTGTTTTAGTACATGTTTTAGTTTAACCTCGAATATTCAGTCATATACTAGTGTTTCAAAGAAAACATTTAAGTTTGTTCCAATAGGACTTCAATGTTTAGAAATAGCCTTGTTTATAATAATAACAATATAAACATTTCTACCGCGCATTTTCCAAATAAAATTGATCAAATGCGCCTTACAATTAGAACAATAGGACTTATCGGGGTATTAACTTCTTGAATAGTCTGAGTGACCCGTTTCAAGCATCTTTAACTTTATACTTACTCGTAAAAAAAGCACAAACTCAATTGCTGAACTTTCTATAATGTTTGATCAATAAAATCACCATCAAATTTTCAATTAAAACGTTAGGCCAACGCAAGATCATCTTCATAATTTGTTGCAACTGTGAAAGTTTAAAACAAGTTCAGTATAAACAATTTTGAATTTTTTGCAAGATATCATTAAATACCACAATACATCTACTTTCTATTACTGATTCATACACCCGCTACCATGAAGTAAAATAGTTGAAGATTAAGATGAAATGTCATACAGTATTGCTTTGACATTGCCCAAATTTTACTTTAAAAACTACAGTTTTTTATTGCGAAATATAAAACAACATAGTAGAGGAAATAAAAATTAAACGCACTGGAAAAGATGTAAGCATCGCTGATGGCCAAGAACACTGCTTTCCCATATTTGTTTTGCCGTAGCAACATTCATTAACAAAACCAAAGCAAACTTTACGTTGTAATAGTAATGACCGCGTCTGTGCATAATTCGTGCTTTTCAATTAGGCCCTGTTTGCACGTCGCAGATACATATGACAGGGTGTGGTTAAAATCATTCTTCTATTGGTTAAAACATGTCACGTGACTTTTTATCATCATATATGGCTATTTAGTTAATGTTTAACTCGGGATTTCCCAGATAACCCCCGTACATTCTACCTTTTTGTCCAACTGGATGTGGATTAAATCGTTTACCATTGGTTAGAACGTGCCATGTGACTTTCCGTGGTCATGGTAATTCTGACGTAGATGCGTGATTCGGGGTTTCCTTGCTGATCTCCCAGGGCCGATTTACTCGCCACAGAAGTTGTGATGTAGAAATTGTCAAACATTACAGTTATCGTGCTGCTTTTATTGTGTTACGAGAAAACATGGAATTTCAGTTTGATATTGCAGATGACAACGGTTTAGAACATTTTGAGAACACACACAGGTCATTTTGGAAGTCATCCACTATATAGCCAATCTAATAATATGAGTCAGGTAAGAATTACTTTTCGTTTGGAATTCGCTGGGAAGTTTGGTTGGAAAATTTCTCTAATATTTCCGCTCGAAAATTTGTCGTGGGTCTGGTCTGGTGCACTTACACAAATATCAAAAAGTAATAACAATGAAAACACAAACAAACAAACACAATTTAACACAATAATATGAATATGAAAATATTGTCACCGAAAACATGTTGAGCTAACGCTTAAAAAACGCAAACAAAGAAGAAAACAGCAACGACAACAACCAACTGGACCAACGGGATTCAGGAGGCAGTTGGCTGGTTTGAATAAGATACAGAAGCGGGTGCTGTAATCTGTGACTTTACATTTAAATTACAAAGGTACAAAAAACCACCATGTATTTAACCAAAAAACTGCGTCAGTGCTCCATTATAGTCAGCGGACATTTTATGGTTATTTTACTTTCTTACATATTTTATCTTCGATGTTATTTAAAAACAGAGTTCAGTTTAGGACAACGTATAGTTCTCATTCGAGCGTTATGTGCTGAACTTTTGAGGTATTATACACAAAAAGCTCAGTTTTTATGATTTATTTTTATTCTGTTTAGTATGTTTTTGTTGATTATTTATTTACTATATCTAGTGACATATTGGTCTTGGTTGTGCTGCTTTTAAAGCTTGTTTATATATATATACATAATCGGTGATTAATAATTATGAGTATGTCCACGAGAGGACCATGCAGACCGTGACAAGGTAGGGGTCGGCGGATTTGGTTAAAATTTGGGGGGTAGGTGGGTCATAGGTAGCCTTGAGGTTGTACAAAATATTTGGCCAATCTGACCTCCGTAGCAGAAAAAAGAGCCAAAAATGTGTTTTTATTAGTGAAAAATGGTGATTTTTATGATTTTGGGGTACAAAAGTTTAAACGCTTGCTGCTCAACAGGGGCAAGCAGCAGAAAAATGAAATTTGCAGGGTCTTGAGGTTGTATCCTGACCTAAACCAGGAACTCAAAATTTAGAAAAAAAATTGCTCTTAGGAGGCAACGGCACTAAGGGTACCCCCAAAGTTGAGTCATAGAAATAGCGATCTTTAAGTCGCCGTAGCGTCATTAGTGCAGGTCTTTGAACAATGACACTCAGGTGAAAGAGAGTTCTTATCATGGTCTTTAAGTATCAAGAATAAAAACATTGTCAGCAGTTTTTAGTATGAAATGGCAGGAGCCTGTTTTACCCCTATTTTTCGCTAGTAAAGGGATGGGGGAGGGGCATACAGTACCCCCCCCCCTTTTCTATATTTTCAAAAGTCGACAACCAATTTTCATGAAATTTGCCACCAAGTTTTATTTTTTTCAATTTGTAAATATGACGTCAAAAATGTTTTTAAAAATCTTTAATAGAGGGCGTTTTTTGGGCACATTTTTGGTCAAAAAGTGTATTTTTCACATAATTTTGTCTTTTTTGCTTGAATGTTATGAAAATTGGCAAACGTGTATATTTTTTCATGATCAATAAAATTAAAACTTATTTTAATACTGGAGACGCCATTAGGGGTGCTATAATCCCTTAATTTATCCCATTTTTAGGGTAGGGGGTTCACTTTAAATCAATATGGCCGCCACCTTTCAGAGTCCAGGATGGAATGTATACCCTGCCCGATTTGTGGCAGAGGGAGTCCCCACAAATGTTCCTATACTCAACACACACTTGTCTTTTTGTTAACAGAAGTATCCCCCAATAATCATCTAAAGAATTCCTGAGATTACCAGAACACAATGAAGACACAATGGGGGGGGGGGGGGGGTTACACCCTGCCACATATCGTGCACCAAATGTGGGAATGATGAGGCTTGGATGACAATTCTGTTATTTTTTGGCATGTTAATGTAACCCGGAAAATTAATAAACTTGGAAAATAATAAATTGAATGAGAAAAACGCTAAATGTTGGGGTACTCGCCGTCAAAAATGAGATAGACCTAGATAGGGTAGGAACAAGTAGAGAGGAATTTGAATAAATAGAAACAATGACAAACACATTTTTAGAATGACAACAAAAAAAGAATGATTTATTTTACCAACCAAAATTTGAAGAAAACCATTCAAAAAAAAAACAATAATCAAAAAGGATCCAAATTAACTTTTTCCCAAACCTTAAACCTGTTATCCACACCACCAAATAAGTAAAATGGTAGTACTACAGTCGACTTTTGTTATAAAGAGCACTTTTATAAAGATGTCCTACTTCTGCTTATAAAGAGCAAATTCTGAGGTCTCAAATCTCTAGTTCTCTTTGTGTCTCTTTGTTTCGCTGTCCTTTCAAAGCAACATTTCTGTTTAAAGAGGTAGTTTGGGCGGTCTCACCGACCTTGCTATAACGAGAGTCAACTGTACAAAACTAAATTGAACTTTAAACTTAGATGGAAGTTGAAAGAAGAAAACTGAACCAACACAGTATCAAAATAGAATGACACATGGAACAACCTAACGATCAAAGTCGAAAAAACAATTGAATATAAATCAAGAAAATCGTTTTCCTTCTTAAATTAACATTAAAAAACAAGAACAGTCACTGTCTTCCAATAACAAACCATGATAACCCTTTGTTTAAACACAAAATACGTAAATGAAGAAAAAATGGAACCACTAATGCAAAAATGTTGGTAGAAAAGGATGCAATAAAAAAAAATGAAAACGGGTACTACTATCAAAATCTTGACCACTTCGTGATGATTCAGCAGTTGTTTCACCGATGGTAATCTTCATGAGCCCATCTTCTTGACCCGGTGCTAAACAATGAAGAACTAAACCAAAGGCTTCCTTTGCCTTCCTTCTATAATAACGGATGGTGCTATCAGACATGTCAGATGCTTCTTCAAACGAAGCTGCCCATCAACAGCAGACATTCCACCCTGAGTAAGGAAAGTGTGCAGGGATTGCAGCTCCACATTCTTTGGTCGGGGGGTTGGAGCCCAAGAAGAGTCAAGTGCACCTACACCCTGTGTAATATCTCCATCAGTTGATGAGAACTCAGATGTATGCTAGAAATAATCATGAGAAAATAAAAACAGTGAGATGCGTGCTACATATAGCAGGGTTGAAATACAAATTTATGTACTCAAAGAAGAGTGCTTACAATTCATCTGTGATAAATGAGATGCAATATGTCAAGGTCCATTCTTAGTTCACTCTCATTACCTCATGAACTGAAGTGCACTCTGTGTCGGTGGGTTGGAGAGATGGTACACCAGCCAGCGATGTGAAATCACTGATTGTACACTGCTGCTCTTCTTGTTCCTTAGAGAGCACATCGCTAGATGGTAATTGTTCCGCTGTCTGGTGCGTAACTGCTTGTTTGTGCTTAGATAGACAACCTCTACAGATACCTGAAAGTCATATGAACAGTGAGAATTAACAAAGTGTTAAGGCCGCAGCAGGCTTAATATTTTTTAAAAGTAAAAGATATAAAGCGGGGCGTATGTAGCCAACAATATTGAGCAATAGATGCCTTGAGAAAAACCCATGTCATAAATTTCCCCCCCCCCCTCCAAAAAAAAATAAATAAATAAATAAAAAATAAGAAATCTTCTTTTATTATTTTATATTGCCTGTATTTAATTGCACTTATTACTTTTTCTTTTTCTGATGTTGCTGGCTCTGGAGGATTTGTATAAAAGGGGAAACAAATCCGAAATTGTTCTTTAAGTTGTAAATGGTCTGATGAGTCACATCTCGTGAATAAAAGTAAAAAAAAAAAAACGTAAGTGCAAAAGAAATATTTGTTTAATTCCACAAACTGCGCATGTTCAGTGCAGTTCCAACTTTCTTTATATAAAAAAAAAAAATCAAAATCCAGCTCCGGCTAAATATCCACCATGACAACCAGTATTAATTTTTCACACAATAATAAATTTCACTGGTCACAAGTCAACTGCATGATAAGGGATATAATTGATATAACCTACCCAGGAACAAAGTCAGTTGATCAGAAATGGACCATAACCATGATTGATTCATTTCAGAAATGTATTTTTGTTTGATTTCTGTCTTCTTACCTGTTCCAACAGTGATCACGGTACCCCATCGATCAAACATCTATGATCTCACGGCTAGTTGCTTTATTCACACCACGGAATGGTTTGCCTTTCCCTTTATGGAGTGGATGACAACATTTCCTTGATGATGACCAACTCAACCCTAACTTGTATCTATGCGCTGGACATATTGTCTTATCAGTGTATGCATCGACGTCGAACAAACCACATCGCAGGATCAGTTTTCACTCGACATTCACATCATATGCAGCGACTTTCCACTTCTGCAAATGGCTCCGTATGTTTTTTGTGCATCGATTAAGTTGCACTGTATTTAGTTCGCGCGGATAAGAGGGATTTACACCATATTCGATGGCTTTGCAATAGTCAAAATTACTAAAGTCACATTGCTGCCGCACAGACGGCATGTCCATGGCAGCCATTTTGACAGTGATGTAATGCGAGAGCGCCCTCTTTCGATACCGTGCGCTAACTGGGTGGGCGGCAACAGGACGTTCCCCTCCTACCGGATCAGTGCGCACCACCAAAGGTAGCCCACTCACCCACCCACCCAATAGGTGAAGTCTGCAAAATGTAGATTTTGTTACGCTCTTACAACAATTCCTGCAAAATGTCAATTACAGTAAGGGCAACCAATTGCACTCGGAACTGTCTAGGGGGCTATGTAGGTTTGGTCATGAAAATTAGGAATTTTTCAACTTTGTTGACCGTGAGCAAACAAAAACAAGAAGAGCTGACAGTTTTTTTATTTTTTATTATTGTAGTCGGATATCTGAACTATGTTACTTCCAAGTTTGTTGCCTCTCTGCCCTGCATTAATTAAGTCATGGTTTACTGCGTAAATGACTTTATTTCGTAATATAGCTGATACGTGTTTTTCTTACGCCTATATCTCCGCAGTGAATGCTTGCATATCAACGATTTATATTTCATCGTTTAGAGGAGATTAAACCCTTTCTTTTGATATGTTGGTCGACAGTAAACGATTTAGTTTAAGGGAATAAACGGGGCTATAACTTCACACCAGAAAAAACACAAATTTACTCCCCGGAAGTCACCTTTTTTTGCTCAAAATTGTCGGTGCCCCGTACTCGGCCACCGTGTGATTATTTATCGAGCTACTCCAACGAGTGGTATCGTCTCAGTGGGGATCAAATGGCCAAGATTTGAACTTAATTCGCTGACCCCCCACCTTGTCGATTTTTCAAGATTTTGCATGGTCTTCTCATAAACGCACACTTATATATTATAGCTACTTTGTTCTAAACGTATGTAACGTATTTTTGTAACTTTATTTCGCTTTTTCTTTTTATTATAATGAAAGCTTTATTTAATGGGGTTTTTTTGTATTCAGGTATGCCATTCAGCTTGGAGAACCCCTCGACAGGAACAATGTTTCTTTTGAGCAATCCTTCTGGAACTGAACGATAAATTTTGTCTTTGTTTTGTTTGTATCTAGAGCTTTCTTTTTATGTATTTCTTTTTACTTTGGTCATCTGTGTACATCAATTTGTTGATGTTTCCCGAGAAATAAACTAGAATAGTATTATAGTTTACAGCTATTTCTGGGGAAACAACTGATATAATGATTTAGAATGTTAATATTCAACTTTGTCATATCAAGGATCCGTGCGTAATTTCTTGGTTTTACAGTTACTTACCTGTTCAAGATGAAAGCTTGAGCTGGAAGACGATTGGTTCTCGAAGGCCTAAAGTAGCCAAAAGACATAAACAATAGATTTACATTACTAATTAATGCTAAACAAAACATATATCACCAAATTCGCTTTGCGAGAAACGTCAAAATCCCCATCAGGCCATAGCGTTGTTGGGGTGGGATGTGTCAAAACACGATCTTTTCAGTTTTGGCTAAAATTTGAAATTTCCAATTTCAAAACACATGTGTTAGAACGAAATATAGTTTCCAAATTATCCTCAATTTTTTTTTCCATTGCATAATAATAACTTTCAGATTAATTTGACAAAAGGCGAAACCTACATAAAGCAGATGATAAGAACTGCGTATAGTTCGTAAACCACCACGCACAAAGTCCAGATATAACCTCATAAAGCAGCGCGCTCTTTTATAGTCATAGGGAGCTGTGGTCCAGGGGGCGGAAATTACAGGATTGCTCAAAATAGATGCAGTTATAAAACATTGCCGTTAATCATTACTTTTTGTTTTATTATATTCTGGCTTCGTATACGCAAAGTCAATAGTGTTTTTTCGATGTTTATAAAGGCCGGAAATTTCCAGATGTGATGTGAATGTGATGTGAATTTCTACACGAACAGAGCCAGATATTGCCAATCGGATCTTTGAGGTTTTGCGTGGATTACTGATGTTTTTTTTTTCTCTTCATTGTCACTGAAAAAAATGAAATGTTTTACTCCATGATGCGTATACGTTGAGGATAAAACGCGGGTTTTGTTACTGAGATGGCGTATAGTGTACATGAGCATTTCGCTGGCGGCCATGACAGATGACAGTTGCGTGCAGTCACGTACACACATGTGCATATCTGGTCACTGTAGTAGTGTAGGTTTTCCCGGCAAATTTCGCAAAAACAACATTCGAAGTTCATCTTGATAGTGGCCAATTTGAAGCGGAGTAGCGCCCTGCTGTCATTCCCGTGGTTCGTATTAGATTTCAGGCGTTTAAATTCGTTTAAAGACCTGACATTTTCATGTTTAACTTATCCTAAATTGAAGTTATGTCATTCAATGATAATTCAATACAGCAGTCGGTTTGGTCAAGGGTTATTTTTCATGAGATTCTTGATTTCTTTTTCATTTCCGTGCGTTCTATTTGGCACTTTTTGCATTCAAAAGAATTAAAAAAAAACGAAGGCATACGACGCGAGTCTTTTTATTTCTTGCACCTTTTTATCATTGCTGCTTTTTCTGTTTCATTTTTTTTTCAAAGTGTCTACTATCTGTCTCGTTATTCTTGAGAAGTAAACATGTAAACAAGTTTTAAAAAAGGGGGCATAACTAAACATATATATGTATGAAAAAAACAAACATATAGGCAACAGTAAACTTAGGTGATGTTTTCCCTTCTTTTTATCGTGTTCACCTCAACCTATTTTTTCTTAATTCATTATCTTTGGGTTTTTGATCTTCTGTTTTCAATTGTGATCTTGGTTATATATATTTGTTTATATCTCTTTAACTTTTTTAGATGTGTAATCATCTTAGAGTCCCTTTTTGTCTCTCTTTATTTTGGAATGATGAGAACACTGTCTACTGCAGGTCTGTTAGCCATCGATCCCTTGTCGTGCATCTACATTTGAAATTCTCAGGTAACGCCCATGAGCTAGCTGCCATGTTGATATTTCTGGCGCTTCAAGCTAACAGTGTGCACGGTGATCAGAGTATTGGCAGAATCTTGTTGGAGACAGGTTTTTATATCAATACTTCTAAATTGGAACAAAGACACTCCATCTAATTCTAAAAACAACGGAATGACATAAACCTATTTGGAATTCATTTGCTTACTTTCACAAATGCCTGCTTAATGGTAAATTTGAATGACCAAACTTACACAGTTGAAAGCTCTGGCGTATTTGGATGCTCGTTTGTGCAATTTTAATTTAGCCTTGTTCATAGGGGTAGTAACTTCTGGAATAGTCTTAGTGACCCGATTAAAACATCTTTACCTTTATCTATAATCGAAAAAAAACTTAAAATGTAAATTGCTGAACTTTTATTTCGTTCAATAAATATATTCACCATCAAATTTCAATTGAAACGTTAGGCCCAATGCAAGATCAGCTTCAGAAATTGTTGCCACTGTGAAAGTTTAAATATTTTTAAGTATGAACGATTTTGGATCTTTTGAAATATGTATCATTAAAAACCATACTACATCTACTTTTTACTACTGATTCTACGCTCGCTACCAAAAGGGTTGAAGATTAAGATGAAATCTCATACAGTACATAGTTTTGCATATTTGACTTTAACAACTGTACCGTTTTTATTGCGAAGTAAGAAACAAAGTAAAGAACATAGAAATAATACGCATTCAGGCGTTGACACCCCCCTCCCAGCTCTGTCCCAAAAAGAGTCTGTCATAGAAACTTCATTTAAAAACAAAATGCGAACCCCCCCCCCCCCCCCCCCCTCTGTCACCAAAACGCAATGATACTGGTAATAACGTAGACCTATGCACAAAATACGGATGGAGCTAGCTTGGTTAGAGGGGTATTTTGTACAATATTCTGTAATATAGTATTAATTATCGTCTGATTTGAACAGCGCCCCCATTTAAAGTATGATACGAACACCCCTCCCACTGCCCCCCCCCCCCCCCCGGCCCACCACCACCAAAACCTTTTGATTTTACGGAGGCAAAGTGTCCGGACAAAAAACATGTCTTCATTTCAGCATTGATTTGCTGTTGACCCCCCCCCCCCTTGCTAAAATTCCTGCATTTGCCCCTGGCATTGGAAAAGATGCCAGCGTCGCTAATGGTCAAGAACAAACAAACAAACAAACAAGATATAACAACATAGTATAAGCTGGAAAATATATATTATCACCGAAACTTGTTAGGTTCAGGCTTACAAATCCCAAGGAAGATTACACACACACGCTTACATAGGCATATAAGAAGTGGGGTACTTCCTTTGTTCTCGTGTACTAAAATTTTGCAACGTCGCACACTTATGTCAAAATGCTCTTATTTTAACCAAAGGCCTAGTTAATTTCCTTAATATCCCTTTTCTAAAACTCTTCCATTTGCGACTGATCAACCCACCTTGGAAATTCCTAGTTTTTGAGTAAAACGTGTGGGGTACCAAAACGGTACCCCGCAAGTCGGTGGGCATTCCTTGTGGGGTACCTCACATAGTTCCGGTGCCCCACAAGGCAGTGTTTGTACACGCACACATACACAACATGGACCGACGGGCAGCAGCGTATCCAGCTTTTGATGTCGGGTTGGGGGGGGGGGGTGCAAACGCGCCGAAATGAAGACATGTTTTTTTTCTCCGGACCACTTTGCCCCCCCCCCCCCCTGCCCCCACTGGATACGCCACTGCCGACGGGGTTCAGGAGGCAGTGGGCTGGTTTGAATCAGATACAGAAGCGGGTGCTGCAGTCCATGACTTTAGATTTTCATCACAATGCTGCAAAATTACACCATGCAATTAACCAAAAACTACGTCAGTGTTCCATTATAGTCGGCGGACATTAATGGTTATTTTACTTTCTAACACAGTTTATCTTCGATACTATTTGAAAACAGATTTTGGTTGAAGACAACATAGTTCCGATTCGTATTTTCCTTATTTGGTGATTCCCATTCGAGCGTTAAATGCTGAATACACGA